CGACGATATAAGTCGTTCACTAAAATACTGCTCAGCTGCATGGAACCGCATCTTAGACGACTATCAACCACCAGAGCAGGCCGGCTTCCGCAAGAATTTCTCCTGTATGGACAACATACAGGCAGTAACACAGCTCATAGAGAGGAGCCGCGAGTACCATCTTCCACTTGTCCTCGTCTTTGTGGACTACAAAAAGGCCTTCGACTCAGTGGAGGTTAATGCTGTTCTCAACGCCCTTGTGCGAGCCGGAGTACCTTCAGCCTACATTCGCCTGCTCGAACAGAGTTTATCGAACACATCAACAACATTGCAACTGTTCGAGCGCAAGGTAAAAGTACCCATTGAGAAAGGGGTACGGCAGGGGGACACGATATCCCCGAAGTTATTCACGGCAGCACTACAGTATGCGATGTCAAACCTCAACTGGGATGACAAAGGATACTTGATTGACGGGAAAAGGATAAGCAACCTCCGTTTTGCATGAATGGATTATCGGTCTGATATCCGATAACACAGTCGAAATGGAAGAGATGGTAAACGAGCTCGACATGATTGGTCAGAAGATTGGCTTGGAAATGAATATGTCCAAAACGAAAATGATGGTGAACCACTGGTGTGACGCGGGAACCGTGAAATTGGCAGGAGTTGCTCTCGAAAGAGTGGATTCCTACGTGTATCTGGGAAGAGAGCTAAACATGCTGAACAACATCTCTGCTGAAATAAGCCGCAGGAGGCGTGCAGCATGGGCAGCTTTTGGAACGATTCGTGAAGTAACGGAGCAAATTAAGGACCCTAACCTAAGAGCCTCGATATTCGACGCCACGGTGCTACCAGCGATGTGTTACGCGACCGAAACCTGGCCTGAAAACAGGACACTCACCAAGGCAATGCAAACTACGCATCGTGCACTGGAGAGATGTCTTTAGAAGGACGGCCGTTGCCAGCAATGGCAACAAGGTCTACGAAGTACAGACCTAAGGGAGAGGTCGAGATTGAAAGATCCGCTGCAGTATATGGCGCAGTGCAAACACCGCTGGGCTGGTCACTTGCTCCGCCAAATGATGACAGATGGAGTCTCCGCATCACAGAATGGCTCCCAAGGAACGCAAAACGGCCTCTGGGACGACCACCAACGCGTTGGTCCGACTCGTTTTTGAAATATTTCAGAGAACGCGGTCCACCACATTGGATGCAAGTCGCCAGAAATCGTGCGTTATGGAAGAGCTGTGGTCCCCACTGAAGATCAAGCCAGTTGAAGGACCATCAAAGTATCAAAGTAAGTAAGTAAGTAGATGACCATTCGGTCGGCAGTGTGAGCAGAGTATCACCTCTTCGTACCAGCGATGGCGTACCGATGACGCAGGACCTCCGGCCATCTGTAATGTCAAATTGGTGTGAACAAACTATTTTCTGCATTAGAACTACCCTGTATTAACTTATTCTGCCACGCGGGACTTAATTATCCGAGCACAGTGCCGTAACACTTTATCTTTACTTCAACTTGAGTAACTGAACCAGACACTTCTCCACGTCAAGAAACAATGCAACGTATATCAAACAAGAGAACGATATCGTTATCAACAGATGTAAAAAAATATACATCATATAGTATAATATAGTATCATTATCGTAGATGAATCTTCCCGGTCGCGGATTAATGCCGCGACATTCCCCGCCTCGAATGTCGATTTCTTTCCATCTCCTGTAATTCGCGAACTGCTGCTTGCACCCTGGCTTCGATCCTCCACTTTGCGTCCGGGACGGGGCATAATGCTCGATGGTGGCCCTTGTCGTGAGGTATTACATCTTCAAACGGGGTTCCTTCGAATTTTGCTGCAGTACCAACAGGCCCTCCTTCCTTTTATGCATCGGCCTTCTTCACAGTTTTCCAAGCAAAGCGTGCAAAGCTTGAGCGTGTAAACAACTTGTCTGCGGTCTAACGCGTTTCGAATTGTTGGACAAGAGTCGGAATAGTGCGCTGCTCGCGCACCGCAGAAGGTGCAGCTGCGCCATGGTTCGACACCTTCCGAGTATTGCGTGTATCGGCGATAGGGGAAGGAGTTGAGAGCATTTTCCATCCTTTCCAACACTTGCTTCTTTGCTTCGTATTCTTTGAGAAACTTGACATCGGCTCTCTTCTCGTGCTCCTTCGAAGGCTTGCTCGTGTCCTTGCTTGCTTCGCCAACGTTCTGGGCTGGGTTTTCGCCGTCCTGGTTCTCTTTAATCAGCCTCAGGAGGTAATCTTCATCCGAAATTTCCATGTCACTCTGATAAGGCTTTTCTTTGATCTCGTCCTGGACATCTGTTCCGATTTGGCCATCTGTTGCTCCAACATTGAGATTCTCGCCTTCAGTGAAGTGACTTCCTCTTCATGCTGTTGTAGAAGCTGCTGTACTTGAGGTGAAGGCTCTTCTTCTTCCATCCGTTGACATTCTTCCCTCAAAACTTGTTCCATCGTTTCCTGTATCTCTTTTGTCTGTTTTATAGCTACCAATGACCAGTATTTGTCCCATTTTTGAGATTCGCAGGAAGACTGTACTTCAAGGACTTGACTTGGGTGATGGTACCTCCCTGTTATGAGGTTGCCTGTTTTCGTTGGTAGGAGTTGAAGTCCTGAAGGAAGCGGAACAGGTGGCTCGTCTGTCTTCCAGAATTTCCACACTTGATCACAGCCAAGAAGTATCAGTGGCTTCACTGCCTTTTCCTTCCATTTATGCTGAATTGAAATGTTCAATGACTTCAGGAACTCTGTATCTTCTTGAAGCAGTGGGGGAGTGCGAAGTGGTTTGATCAGAATCTCATGTGTTGTTAATTCCAGTTCATGAGGTCTTCCTTCGACATCCTGAACTTGTACGCGTACAATGCGGCACTTTTCTTTTGGATTTCTTCAGAACCAAACGTGTGCAGAAAAGTGTTTTCTCCGAAATAGTTTCGAGTCCAAGCTCGTCGGCCAGTGTTCTGTCGATAAACGATATTTCTGCGCCTGTATATTGGGCTTCGATGCACCATGTATCAACTTGTGTGCTGCCACGCGGGACTTATCTGTCGTGATACGAGCACAGAGCCGATAACACTTTATCTTTACTTCAACTTGAGTAACTGAACCAGACACTTCTCCACGTCAAGAAACAATGCAACGTATATCAAACAAGAGAACGATATCGTTACAACAGATGTAAAAAATGGTATCATTATGAATGATGATTAGGATGAATCTTCCTGGTCGCGGATTTGCCGCGACATACCCTACCCAGACGCATTTTCATGCATGACATACGTCAGGGTAGTCCCTGGATAAGTGAACAAGTATTCTGGGCCGTTCCCGATTCCTGCCGACTAATCTTTAATAAAACTCGTCCAGCCCACCGAGAGAGAAGCATTGGCACTCCTCCGGCTTTTCCGACTTTTTTGAGTGCGTTTGGGGGACTGCCCTTCTTCTTTCGACCAGCTTCATCGCTGTTTTTAGTGAAATGTTTATGTTTATATAATAAGAGATGGTAAACTTTGGGTAACGAGGCAAAGTACGACTTCAACAGCGAGAGTCGTGAGCACAACCCAATACGCAAACCCAAGAAGGTCAAAACAATTTGTTTGACCGAAAATTCGCGTTTATAGGAGTTATCAATGGTTCTGATTACGACTGTGACACTTCTTCTCGGCACCCACGCAAATTGGTGCCAAAATAGCTTGAAGCTCCCCTATATGAGTGTACATGACGACTTCAGTGAAAGGAAGATGTGGCTTCAAAAGGCGATAAATGGCACCACAGCTAGAAGTAAGGACCATATTCGTGATCAGATCACTGATCAGCCTATAAAGACCAACGTTCAGCAACAATCTTGCTTGATAGTATGTGAAAATCCAAATGGTTGAATATCACCGACTAGTGGGGTACAACTATTAAGAATGTACACATAAATGACAAATATCCATGTTATACTCAAGCACAGACATATCCCCCACTGTCATTATCAGATTAAAAATCCTCCACACTATCCACTAGGCCATCCGGTCGTTGAGGAACCATTTCAAGGAGCCGTTAACCCTTAAACACGTGACCCAAGTTGGACCCTCATTTGCGACGATTTTTCACTTCGTTTCAACAGTCCCTTTATAAAGACCCCCCCCCTACTAAGCAACTGATCAAGCTTGCAAGTGATTTACAGCGCACAGAGGCCCAAAACGAAGCGCTTTCCATAGATTTTCTTTCACACCTTTTTTGCCTTTCCTGGAAGCGCGCAGCGAAAAAAAGCACACTTTTCATGTCCTTGCGTGAGCCCCTACAATATGCAAAGAACCGTTCTTATAAAAGCGCACCACGCCCTGAACGACCTCCCTTCTGAGCTCCCAATAATTTTATGACAGCTGTGCCATTCGACCAGCTTTCGCATGAGTGCGATGAGTATCCAACACTTTCAGTGCCTTTGACATTTTCTTGGTTGATCCCGTAAAAATGAGAGTGAGCGACATTCCAGGTTAAATAATTCAAAAACCGAATTGGAGAACCACTGCCTGAAGCTGTTCTCTTAGTACAGAACAAACCTCGATCTGTCCCTGCCTTGCGTAGCTCGGATGCCTTTTCAGAATCTTAATTGCGACGATCTCGCTGGTACCTTTCTTCCATGCTTTCACAACCTTAAAAGGAACCGCTCCTTTCGATGCTGTGCAGAATAAATATGATGATTCTTAAATACTTTCACAAAGACTTTAAAGACATCGTCCACTATTGTTCGGTTCTACCAGTTTAATGCCAGCAAGTCCATATCGCTGCTTCCTCGCACATCCCTTGGCTCACGCTCACTTGTTCAGATCTTTCATCGCAGAATACTGTCCAACATTTGGAAGAAAAGTAAGAATCTCAGGAACGAACGCAATAATTTATGTTATGCAGCTTTGGAAAACTTCTTGTGCAAAACCAGACTGCCGCAATATAGCGAATCATTGGATCAGTACAGCATTGGTGAATTGAAACATTGCCGAAACGCAATACAGAAACTTGAACGCCCATGTGAACAATGAAACGTGGAATAAGGCCAGCAAGGGGTTGTCAGACTAACTAGGGGAGACACACCCAAAGCGCGTACTTGAGATGGGCGGTGCTTCCTATAAAGTTCAGTAAGTCGGTTCCCAAGAGGGTTTAGAGATCGCAAAAAAGTGGGCGTAGAAAGGAAACATCCGGCTATGGTTCTATGCCTGCAGGGTGTTGAAAGCCCCCATAGTGGGTAGGGCGTGCCCTCGATCATAGGGTTCTCATTTCGGAAATTCGACCGTAAAAAAGAAACAGCAAAAGGTCGATGGCTCACAAATGTGGGGCATAGAACCATAG